CAATTGGAAATTCACGGTGGTTTGCCTTACCTCGACAGGGGTACCTTCATGCGCTTGCGTCCGTTGTTGTCAAAGTGGTGGAAGCAGCATCGAGTGCCGTATGACGCCACGGTGTCCACGGTAGAGGCTGGAGCGTGTGAAGGGGTTGCGCAGGAGACGCTTAAGGACCTGGTGACAACCACAGTGGCTGCAGTTCACGCCGATACGGCTCAGGAGGAGCCACAAGTCAGCACGCACGAAGCATTGATCCGGGATGAAGAAGCAGCGGGAGCGCTGTTACAGAAGGGGCCGAAGGCATGGACACATGCCAACATCATGCAGCTTCTTCGGAGTAGTAGCTTGAAGCCGGTCGTGAGGTACCGTAGTTGCGTGCAGGACAAATCAGCGCAAGTCAAATCTTGGCTTTTGGGCGCATGGACACATGGTGGTTGCCAGGGTTTGTCCAAGCAGTGCAGGGCTAGGCCGAGTCTGACCAGATTGATCAACGCATTCCTACGTAAAATTTTTTCCACCGGAACTTGGACAAGCATCATCATCAATGACAACGTCACATTTGTACCTCACAAAGACAGCTACAACATGCCAGGAAGTGACAACTTCTTGGTGTGTGTATCTTCCAAGGAGGAGATGCCTAGCGGAGGAAGGTTGTGGATTGAAGATCCGCAGGGTCAGGAGCTACGTCAGGTTCGACCGGATCATGCTTTGTTGGGCAAGCTAGTTGAGATTCGAGGTAAGGGCTTCAGATTTTCACCGAAGTGCTGGCATGGCACTGAAGAGTGGAAGGGCAGGCGAGTGGTCCTGAATGGTCACTCAACGACTGGAGCTAAGAGGTTGACGCAGTCAGAGTTGATGCAGCTGGTGGACATGGGTTTCCCATTGCCTTTGGAGCTATTGTGGTGTGCAAAACCCCAGGCAGCAGTGGAGATTGTGACATCATCAGAAGAAAGCGGCAGCTCCGGAGGCGCAACAGCAAACAGCGCGACACAGACTCAGCAACATCGGACACACCAGAATCCTGTATCTAGCCCCCAGGCTGAACCGTCGGACCAACCTTCAGGCCATTGTGAGTTTTGGCAGGATGTGTGTGAAGCTCAGGCTGGTTTTAGTGTTGTACAGGACCATCAGACCGGTGAGTTCAGGGATGGTTTAGGTAGGTTCGGCCTTGATGGCAGCGCCTCCTGTGTTGTACACTCGTCCTATCAGAAGGACTGTCTTCAGTGCCAGGGCAGTAGAGGACATCGGAAGGCGCACTACAAGCTTTCAGCAGCTCAGGTGAGCTCAGCTGTGCTCAGCTTTGATCTCTCTGGCCCACATGTTCGGGGAAGGGATGCCTCTTTGTACTTCTTGGTCGGCGCGTACATTACTGCAGATAAGAAGACACTTCCGTATGTGCGCGTTCAAGAATCTAAGAAGGCTGAAGAAACATTGCGGAACATGAAGAGCATCATCCTGCAGGTGAGGGCAGAGTTTGAGGACCCGACAGCGGTTGTGAGAGTGCATTCGGACGGTGGAAAGGAGTTCGTCGCTTCGCAAGTCGTGGAACATCTGTTTAAGGATGCCGTTTGGAAAACGTGCTCATCGGCATATGACCCTCAGGCGAACGGCCGAGCTGAGAGGCAAGTGCAAACCATCAAGGAGCGCGCCACAAGTCTTCTTTTGCACGCGGACATGCCACGATCGTTTTGGCCATATGCTGTGAAGCAAGCAACTTATGAACTTCGGTTGAGCGCGATTGTGGAAGATCCTCCACTTGGTATGCCCACTTTTGGTGATCCCGTTGGTGTTCGTATTCAGGGGGCAGAGCCTTTTGCTCCTCGAGTGCGAGAAGGAGTTTTTCTATGTGTAGACGAATCCATGCAGGATGGATCCCAAGTCATTGTGGACACGGAGGCCGGAACCAAGATCATGACTACTCGATTGCCGGAGCCTTTGGACGCAGCTCCGAAACACTGGCGAAAGCTGCTTAGTCCTGATGAGGACGTGGCAGTGTGGGTAGCTCGTGATGGTTCAGCTAGGTGGACGGAACCACATCCAGATGAGATCGTAACGCTTGAAGAAAGATTGGAAGGCCCAGAAGCAGTTGATCACGAAGCCGGAGCCGCCACGATCATCCGAAAACGAATTCAGGAAGACGATCATGATCATGCCAGTCCGTTCCTTGGAATGAGCCATAGCACAGCAATCAGTTGTCAAGCACGAAGCAAGCAATCAGCAGACATTTCGGAGCCGAAATCCTTGATGCAGAGCGCATGGTTGAAAGGCAAATCGTGCACAGTGTGTGGGCTCTCCTCGGCTGCGTGCCTCGCAAAGAGGTTGGAGCATGAGCCTGCAGAACCGAGGGGGTACCAGCTTGACACTGCGGACGAGGAGGCCCAAGCGGATGAGCAGGCTCGCTTGATGACCGAACTTGCTGCTATGAAGGCGTCGGCGGAACCAACGGATTGCAGAGTCTTCTTCGAAGGATCGCAGGAGGATAGAGATAAGTGGTACGGCGGGGCATTGGCGGAGATGACGGGCATGAAAAACATGGAAGTCTTGGAAGAAGTATCCCGTGACAATTTGCATCAGGATCTCGGTCTTGCACCGGGGGTGAAGATTCCACGTCCACTGCCTACCAAGTTGGTGACGTCGCGCAAGCCCGAGGAGGAGACTGGTAAGGAGCCTAACGCGAAGGTCCAAGGAGAGCCTCCTTGGAAAGCCAAAGTCCGTCTTTGTGCCTGTGGCAACTTTGAGGCCTATGATGGGGCAGAGGTCACGACGCAGAACGTCAGTCCAGCTGCACTTCGTATCATGGGACATGAGTTGAGTGCCCACCCTGGGTGGGTGGCCGCATCTGGAGACGTGTCTCTGGCCTTCCTGAACTCGAAGCTTGATGACGACGACATCGTGCTTTTAGAACCACCTTCGACTCTAAAGCGGCTAGGCCTAGTCAAGCCTAATGTGTTGTGGCGAGCGCGCAAGCACATATATGGTTTGAGGAGGAGTCCGAGAGCTTGGAGCAAACTAAGGGACGACACCATCAATGGCAAGGAGCTTGCTTACGATGGAGGATCCTTTGTGGCAGAGCTGGTTCCAGATGAAGAAGGACTCTTTGTTCTACGAGATGTTAGCTCACAAGAAGTCATAGGCATCGCCGCAGTCTACGTCGACGACGTTTTAGTGGTAGGCCAGGCATCGGCAGTCACCGCCTTCCTGGACTTTGTTGCAGCGACTTGGAATACAAAACTCTCAGGCTTCATCAGCCGTGAGGGTCCTGAAGAGCTTCGAAAGGGAGACTTCAGTTTGAAGCGGGTTCAAGAGTTGACGTTCATCGGGCTTCAGATTCATTTCGAAACTGACGGTGCTGTCAAGTTCCATCAGAAGAGATGGGTTCTGAGTGAGCTACATCAGAGGAACTGGATACATCTTCGTGGATCCCAGAGCCTTCCACAGGTAGAGTTCGTAGGAACGGAAGATCCGGAGAGTCCTGGTTACGCCACGGCTTTGAAGGAGGCCCAAACCGAGCTGGGTTGCCTACTGTGGGTAGCAACCAAGAGCAGAGGGGATCTCCTGTCTGCTGTGTCAATAGCAGCCTCACATCTGCACAAGTGCCCGACGCAAGTCTTGAAGGTCGCCCACGGTTGCTGGCGATATCTTCGGGGAACCCTAGACATTGGAGTGTATTTTCAAGGCTCAATCGCTAATACATCTCTTGAGGTGTGGAGCGACGCATCTTTCGCTCCCGAGGGGAGTAGATCACGCTCAGGCGGGACAATCACCTTGTCTGGCTCGCCCTTGGCATGGTGGAGCTCGAAGCAGACAGTTACGGCGTGGAGTGTCTGCGAGGCAGAGACAGACGCCCTGGCGCTTGCAATGTCAGAAACGACGAAGATCCTTCCATTGCTTGAGGCCCTTTCAGGTCGACAGTTTGACTCACACGTGAAGATGTTTGGCGATAACTCAGCAAGCATTGTAGTGGCGAATCGAGAGACCTTCTTTGTGAAAGCTTGGAGGACGCGTGCATTTGCTTTGAGGGCATCATGGTTGAGAGACCAGCTCAGAGATCAGAATGTCCTGTTGCAGCATCACCCTGGTGCTACGCTGATTGCAGACATGTTAACGAAAGTCTTGTCGAAAACGAAGCTGGCTGAGCTTCGCTCCCGCGCCGGTTTCAAGTAGAAGTTTTGTCGTCACACGTGACGACCACGAAGAGCTGATAGGACAGAAGCTGCTGTCCCGCACAGAGGTTGTAGCTGATGTCATGTCCAGTTCTTGCATGTCTGATTCTTGCCGAAGGAATAGTCCAGTAGGAATCAGGAATTTATTTAGTGATACCCGCTGCTATACACCGTCAGTGAGCCACTGGGCCTCAAGAACCTTGTGACACCTCGTTACAAGAAATGAAAGACCGAGTCACGGGGGTACTCGGCCAAGAGCTCATAGGCTGAGTCATGCACTGAAGCGTGTTTGACATTCTTGAAAGACGGTGGGCAACTAGCCAGCGATAGTCTTTTGTGCACTCTGAGAGCAGCAGGTGGCCTGACTTTCAGTCCCCTGCTGAGGAGGAGTGTTGCTGTAGGGCCCAATCCCTACTTTTGGCAGGTGCACAAATCGAGAAGTGTACCGCAGGTGCACAAATCGAGAAGTGTACCACATCTTGTCTGGCAGGTGCATGACCCCTGCTAAGGATGACACGCACAAATCCGAATGGCTCAAGCACGAGCCCTATGAAGGGCGCAGCGAGGTGGGTGCGAAAAGCACCTTGGGGCGTTGGGGTTTGGGTTGCTTGTTTGAGGGTCCTTGTAGTGCCTTGCTATCTTGCATGCTACTCGATGTACTATGGAGAAGTATGATCATCTAGATGACTTACCTATGCAGATTAGAAGGCATCATGCAAGTCCTACTCCTAGTCACTATTCTATTGTTACGAACAGCCCTTCCCCTGAACCAAACACCAGAAATCAACAGAGCCGTTCCGCTCCCTCCCTCACGTTTGTTTCCGCTCACATTGTCCAGCGAGCCTCAGGCGAGCTAAGCTGCTCTGGACGGGAGGAAATCCGGCCTCGGTCACAAGCCTTGCATGCTGTCGCTGACTGCGCTGGCGCTCTTGAGATTTGGGCGAAGCTCGTCCAAAGCTGCGAGCACGGGAAGTAGGCGGCCAAGGCGCCACAAGGTGGACCTGACCAAGCATGCCAAGAATGCTCGGACCTCCCACCAGAAGTGCGGTCAAGCCCTGCGCACCCTGCAGGCGAATCATGTTTTCAGTCACGAGATACCAAGCTGCAGCTGGGTCTGTGGTTCTTCTATCTGGGAAACACATATTTCCGCCTGTCTGCCGCTACCTGTACACGTAAGTACGGCAAAGCACACCATTTTGGAATGAATCATCCGATGCTATGAAGTGACAGTGAGGTGAAAAAGCGGAGCGTCACCGGATCATCGCTTGGGCGACCGCCAGCCTCCTGCCACGTCCAGCTGCGGACACTGCTCTCAGCTCTCCCGTGAGGATCTGATCCAAAGCTGCTCGATGCGGCAACGTGGCATGTTGCATGTTCGCGCAGCCTGGCCCTTTTTTGCCTTTCACATGCAAGCGGGTTTTACGCCGAACGCGTAGGGAGGAGGTGCCACCGATCGTGGCATGCGAAGTACGGTCACCTGCACAGGTCCACAGGGCCGTAAAACTGCCTGAAGCAGCAAATAGAAGCTCCAAACTACGTGCTGGTCAGGAGAAACTGAAATTTAGAGCCTCCACTTGGGAGCCGTCTTCCTCGCAGCAAGCGAGATATCTGTTGTGCGCGTTCCGAATGCTTCAGGCATAGAGCTGCCAGGATGCTGCAGTCTCGAGAATCCTGATGTCCGCATCCTCTCGCAGTACCGTATCGGCTTGGCTTCACAAGTTGCGAGATTGCGGTCCTCTCCATTGATTTTGAGGATGAGATCATTCTCCCGCAGGGTTTCTTGAGGGTTTGCTTCGTTGTGCTCGTGCACCGTACCTCCGGCTTCGAAGCTGCAGCAAGCTTCACCCTTTCGCTATCTCTCAGCCTCCCCTCTGCACTTCATGCTTGCATATGCTTGCTTGCAGGCACCTTCTGGCATGATCTCTATGATTCGCCAGAGATGGTCACCACGTTTTGCAAGTTTCCTGCAGTACTCGGAGAAGCAGAGCGACAAGTCGAATTTTTTGGCAAGTAAGATGAAAGGTCAAAGCCCATCCCAGCGAGGCTGCTGATGGAACCCCACACAATCTGTGATGTCGAGCTGACGCAGCAAGGCAACATGCAGCCAGGACTCAATCCATACTTTCCATTTTTTGTGAGCTTGGCCTCCACTCATGCATTCTTACAGTCTCCTTGCTTGGCTTTACCGGGTGTTGAGTAAGGAAGCTAGCAGCTGTCGATACCCTGCATCCCAGCGCTGGGTGTGGGCAAGTGAAGGACTTCCGCGAAGGTTTTTCTTCCAAGGAGCCGTGATCTGATGGCCACTGGAAACCTGGAAGCGGTCGGTCTTGTGCTTCGGACACATCGTATGAATCAATGTGTCACGTCTGATGCCAATGCTGACAAACTGGCACCCTGCCAGGTGCAGCGACTTGGTCGCGGAATCAGAACCCCTCTTTTGTTGAATCCTTCGCACCTCCGACGTTGCCAAGTTGCATCCAGGCCTCTTGGCTGGCGCGGCTCTTCAGAATCTCGGGCTGCCTGTGATGTACTGAAGAAACATGCGCAACGCACTTAGGAAGGGCAGCTGCAGTCCTTAGTTGAAGTTCCAGCTGACGCACTTGGCGCTGAAGTTCTGGAACCTCGGGATGTACCTGTCAACGCTGACACTTCACTTCGGGGCACCAGCACACAGCTCGAAACCCTGCGTGAGCGCACCGATGTGCGGCCCACTTGCTCCGTCGGCGCTGGCTCCAGAACCCATGTTGAGTCGCTGGAAGTACGCGGGTTAGAGACAGATCCCTGCAGTCCGCCGAAGGCTATGCACGAGCAAGAAGTACGTGGTGGCAAGCTTCAATGCTGCCGATGCCGTGCAACATCGATGATGACCATGCGCTTGCGTCTACACTAGCAGCCGCTTGTCATGCTAGTAACCACGGAAAAGCTGCGCTCAAAGTCTTTGAGCTTGAGAGAAACAACCGCAGTCGATGACAAAGGATCCATGGCCCCCACAGGGAAGCAACTGCGTTGAAAAGCAGAACCTGCATGCAGGGAGGCCAGGAGCGATGCAGGGTAGCACCGCTCGCATGGAAACAGTCAACAAGACAATCTTGAAATGGAGCGAACCAGTTCAATAAACAGGTCGGATAGACGTGGTCGAGTGACATGCAGGTGGGTAGTCTTCGCGAAGTTCGTGCTTGTCTTGCTGCTTGGCTTCTGTAAAATTATGCAAAAACAGAGATCTCATATGTTGGACGTCTGGTGGATGCCACAGTTTGACCGATCAAGCGAGCCAAGCCAGAAACTTCTGACGTGATGCGGTCTTGTCTTGACTGCAGCATCTGGAGCCAGGCACCTGCCCATTTCCAACAGGCACATGAGCTCTGCAATGGCATAGAGCTTTGGCAATAGCCTGACCGAATCTCGAAAGCATGCGCGACCGAGTGGGTTACCCCCTTCCCCGCCAACATGACCGAAAGAAAAGAGTATCTATGCCTCACGCCGCTGGGCTTTGCAGCTTTCCAGGGCTGTGGAAGGCCCAGTTTCCGAGTGGCTCGAACGCCGAGGAAGACCTCTCGGACGTGGAGTCGTTTCTGCTGTTTTGTCATATGGTTGTATATTAGCCATGTGTGAATCTGCAACCCTGCAGCAACAAGAATGGGACTCCGCAAGCCCATCATCACCACCCCCTCTCTACCCCTCCTCTTTGATTCTTTCCGGGTTTGGGCCGTTTAGGCGCAGCCTCGGAGATGCTGATGCCGTTGCTTAGCCAGTCCAGGCAGGAATACCTCTGCTGGCATCCATCGGTGCTACCTAGAACTCGAGAGAGAGAGAGAGAGAGAGAGAGAGAGAGAGACTTGGGCTCGAACACCACGTATGCCACGATGAATAAAGCTCCAGTGGTGCCGGTGGATGCCACAGCTCGGATCTGCTGGGCTACGGCTGACCTGGCGTGGCGTCTTCTTGCACCACTCCGAACTTCAGACCAAACTTATGAGTTTTGAGGCAGGTGCTCATCAAAGATGTAGCACAGGCCAGCGATGGCAAGAGATATGTACCTCATCAGTGAGACTACGTAGTCGATCCATGACCTTCTCTTCCAGGCTTCTGAACTTCTCTGGGCGCACAAGCTGCGATAGTTCCTGCTGCAATTCACCTGTGCGGCTGCCTCACAAGCACCCGTCACCGCGCTGCTCGCTAAGAGCAGCCCAGGAAACTCCTCGGCAACAGGACACCCAACGCGCTGAGTTTGAAGATCTGTCGCCCTTTTGCTGCCTAGGTGCCAGCGGGTGAGCTGAGAGAAATCCAGACAAGGCTACGCGGGCTTCGATCCCGTGACGCCTGGACCGACCCAGCCAGGAAGGCCTGGCTGCCAGGCAGCAGCCGGAGAATCGCTTTCAAACTAAGTCAGAACTGCCCTGTGCCTGGAGGGTGTGAAGACATAGAGCACCAGGTGAGCTAAACCCAGCAGGGATGCTGCAAAGGCTGCAACGGAGGCCACTTTCTGGCCTCTGGCTGCGTTAATGCGCACGTTCAGACGGTGCTCCCCGACTGGCTTGCGGCCTCGTCTTAGTTGCGCCAAGCGGGACGGCTGCACGCCTTCTTGCACTACCTGATCCACCTGAAGGAGACTGCACTTGCGCAGGCTCAGAGGAGACTGCCCTCGCGAGGGCGTGATGGTCCCTGCGATGTCCCGGTCCCTGCCGCCGCCTCCTGCACTTTGCAAGAGCACAGCCTTGCTCTCGCGACTCTGCTTCCGGGGCACATCCTGGCGGTGCCAGGAACATGTGCAAAGTGTTCAGGGTTTTCTCAGTCATCACAAATAGGGCAATTCACAAACCGTGCCAGTGCTTTGCTAACAGCTCGAGCAACGGGGAACCTGGAGCATGCAGCCTGCCGAACCTCAGTGTCAAAAAAGGGTAGCGTGTTGTATCGGATCGCCCGCTGCACGAGCGGGATCACACGAGCGAAGCAGATCGAGATGCGTCAAATCAGTGGGACTGCCCGGCTTACGGACCAAGGCGAAAACAAAGCCCGCGACCGGCGGCAGCGAGCTCGGCAAGGCCGCACTTGGCCTTGTCTTCGACGGGCAGTGGCGAACGATTTCAGCATCGCAAATCACGCTCAGCTGCTCAGCCAATGACAACATCGCTCCGCCGAGCCGAAGCGGTTTCGACTTTGCAGCTGTGCGTGTTTGGCTCTGCGTCTCGGTGCCAATGATTCCACGTGAACTGTATGGCTCTGCGCATGCCCAATGCTCGCCGACTTCCGACCTACATCTGCCTAGACCCAACCTTGCTTTGATGTTGTCCAGAGCCCATTCTCTAGGCCGTTGTAAGGACGGCGAGTGCAGCTGCACAGAGATCGAAGCACTTCGACAGCTCGCAGACTTTTTCCCCGAGCAAGAGTGCGAGTTTGCCTTCGTGAAACTGGGCAGCTCGGCAAAGCCTGAGCTGATGAATGATGTCACTGATTTCTGTGACAGAATCGACGGGATTCGGGTAATTATCTGCAGCCATGTGACCACATTGGCGCCACAGAATTTTTGGCGGCTTGTGATTGCCAGCATTTGCCTAAGATGTTCACGGCCCACGTCCCGCATTCCTGACATTCTCTGTCTGAGGCTGGGACCATCCTGCATGCCGCTAAAGCCTGGGAGAAAAGGCGAGATAAAGCATCCCAGTGCAAGGGCATCCTCGAATGCTAAAGCTTCTGACAAACAATGCTTTCAGCTCTGAACTTTCTCAGCAGCCGCGATCGACGAGAACTCGGCAAGTGCCCCTGTTGGGCCCCTGATGAGCACTAGGGCTAGGGAGCCAGTCGTTCTTGCCAATAGCACCGGCATATTGAAACACTGCGCCTCCCGGTGATGTGGTCGAAAGTGCAGTACACTCGAAGAGGCGGGGCCTCATGGGTTCTTAGGTCAAGTTGTATGTCGACGAAGAGCTTTACCTTTGGCCAAGCCGACGACCGTCTTAGGACATATCTCGGCCAACAGGATCGCAAAGTGAGCCTGCGCTTCTGCCTGCAGGGCGACCATCTTCCTGAGTGCATGGCTCGGTCACCGCGTGGAATCGAGCTGAATTGCTGAGACGGTCGGCGGTCCTCTGTGACCACAAGGCATCTGCTCTTTGCCTGGATATCGCACACTGGCATTCGCCAAAGAAAAGCCACCTGTGCTTCCGAGGGCGAATTTCCGCACGTCGCAGCAATTCACAGCGTTCGGGCCTTGAGCGGGAGAGATCTTCGAAGTCCTCGTGCCCAAACCTCCTGAAAGCGAGCCACGCTGACTTTGGAGGTGTGCGATGTACTGATGTTTCTTTCGTCCTACTCACCCACTCCTAGTCCTGCTGAAACTGCCGCTGCTGCTGCTGCTGCTACTACTACTACCTGAACAACCCGCCCCCGCTGAATTTCAGGCACCGTTGAATTGAACCCAAAAAACGCCATTAAGAACAAGAAAAGGCATTGTTCGCAAAAAACGTAATCACTCATTTCTCGTCTCTCACCGAAAGGCTCTGCTGAAGCACTTCAGCCTGGGAGCAGCTCACTGCTTAAAGCACACTTCGTTCTTGGAGCAGCTCACTTAAAGCACACTTCAGCCCTGGAGCAGTTCACTGCTTAAAGCACCCGTCCAGCCTTGGAGCAGCTCGCTTGAAGCACACTTCAGCCCTGGAGCAGTTCACTGCTCAAAGCACACTTCAGCCTTGGAGCAGCTCACTCAAAGCACACTTCAGCCTTGGAGCAGCTCACTGCAGGGATTTTGCAAAGCTTCTATGATCTTCGAACAGGGTGTTGAGCATCCCATTTAGGGTACACTTGGAGGCTGTAGGTTCACCGCGAGAGCCGTTCCAACAAGAAGCGAACTTTCACCAAGTAGCGTTGCAAGCAACGGACTGCAGCTGTCTGCGGATGAACACGACGGCTCACTCTTGCAACCCGGCCCACGAAATCTTCATTACTTTCGCATAGCCATAGTCCGGCATTCAATAGAAACGGCTCTCTAGAATCCAACTGTTGCTGCAGCTCTGTCAACATATGCATAAAATAATGAAGCTTGGGTCGCAGTCGGAACCCCGAAGCCCCAGCAGCAGTCAGACGACTAGCCATGTAGGCATAGCCCCTGGCGAAAGTCAAGCCACTGTCCAGTTTGACACGGGCACAACTTTGAGGCAACCATATGCCGTGGGAGTGCATTATGCCAATATAGTCGAGGCCACCACGAACCAACTGCTTCATTGCTGACAACTCTGCCCGGTGGTTCTCAACCTGGACATCCCGTAGGAAAAGTGACACCTGAAAGTCGAGCCACTGCAGTAATATCACCACCTCGCTGCCCTTAGTATTGAACCAGGCGAAGGCCGAATTGGTATCGTAATGCATGTTGGCTCTCGTAAAACCTTTCAGCGCTGGCAGCTTCTTGTTTGCAGCACACCACAAGCGGTAACAGCCATAAGCTCTGGAAAGCCGATCCGGGACGTTCTGCAGCTCATTTTCGGAATCGAAGTCCCAAAACCCTAGCTGGGCCAATCTTGTCACACAGCTGGCAGTGGCATCCCTAAAGATTCCGAACTTCAATACATGGAAGGGATCATTCTTGTACATAAATGCACCGAAGCTTTCCGAAAAGGGAATTGCAGACAGGGGAGGGTCTTCGTCCCATGGATCCGAAGCACCCACCGTTTCGAGCCACTTGGGCGCACTGGAAACATCAGTATACGGGAAGCCTTCGGATCCCGCATCACACCAAGGGCAAATCTTCGCAGGATTTACAGGGCCGATCCGATGATACGATCTATTGAAGCTTCCGGCATCGAAGTGCCATTCGGCATCACCCTTCGCACCTATAAATCCAAAGCGGTACCTTTCACCGCTTTTGCTATGCACCAGACCCTTCTCGAACAGTACCCTAAGTTCTTCGGCAACTTGCTTTAGCATGCTTGGGAGGATGTCGGAGTTTCTCTTGTAGAGCTTTGAGGGAATGGCGCACACCAAGAAGCGACTCAGATAACTGTGTCCACGATTGTTGTGCCTTTGGTGGCTCTTGGGATTCGAGGAATCAAGGAATCTGGCAGGGTCACTACGAGTGCACTCAGAGAAGTCTACTTCATCAAACTTTCGCTTCGTGGCACGAGACCTACATGTCTGGGCCAGGTTCCCTTCGACATGCCGGGTGTTTCGGTTTTCATCGAATGAACATTTCTTCAACATATCCGGAGGAAGTCCAATCGGGAACTCGAAGTCGAGGATGTATATCGGGCTTTTTTGTAATGTGCGCCCCTTATCTCCGTGGATACAAACCGGGATCGTGCGGAACCTGTCTTCCTCAGACATGGAGAAAACTACATGCTGGGGATGGTAGGATTGAAATCTTGACCAAAAGCACCCATAAATCTCCTTTGATGCAGCTGCTGAACACCCTCCGAACATTACATGCTCATAGTTGTCCAATAGGTGTTGCATGTACTTGCTCATGGAGATGTATGGGACTGACACCGCTTCTTCACCCCAGGAGTTTTCTGGTACATGCAAGTAGTCAAGCGGTACCCTAAGTGCTAGGCCGTACTTGTTGAACAAGCGATGAGCATTTCTTTCACTGTGGTTTTTATCCACTTTACTGGCTTCGATGAGGCCTGGCACTCGGCTGCCGTCGCTCACAACTGCACTGGCCACTTCGCCAATGATGCAAGCCGGAGCCTGGGGAGATCGAACTGATTCGGGTTGTATCAAGAGTTAAGGTTTTGGGCTTCCTGAGTTTTGTGGCGGGTGTGGTCTCGGGTATAGTACTAGAGAGCCGGGTATGGTGCGATTTGGATTACAGCAGGATTGCGAGAAGATCAAAGTAGCACGACCTATGTCGGGATAAGAGCAGCTGGGCCAGTGTACACGGGATGCGAAGCTCATGTTGCTGGGGCCGACCAAACCTTCAACAGACATGATACATGCATGCAATGCCATAACCCCCAATCTAAGACAACGGCCCCATCAGCCACACGTTCAGCTAGAGCTTCGAGGGTGCGACTTGCCTTCGGTTCACCTGGCGTGCGGTCAGAAATTACCTATAGTTCTAGCTTGTTGCAGCTGCCCGAGCAATGATCGATCTCTGTAGCACTTTTTTTCTTCAGATTGCCAGCATCCAAAATCTAGCACTCTACTCTCCGGTAGACATAGGGCCCCACAACGTATTCACATGTATACGAAAATCAAGTACATCTTAACTAATCAAAGCATTATAACAGTCCACGGTTGGTACATATATTGGAATGAGGGTGTTCGCAAATCCGGAGCATCTTGTCAGGGTCTATAACCCTTTGGCAGCACCATCCTGCAAAAGTTGTGCACATCGAGGGCTCATCAGACTTGTGCTAGGGATTCGATCGGAACACAATGGATACCACGATATAAGCCACAACCCAGTCCCCCTACCTTTAGCCTTAAATTTCTATAGATTATAAAAGCCTAGAAATAACGGCAATTACATGCCACTCGACTGCAGCAGAGGAAAATCTGCTACTTCTTGAGCCTTTTGGCCACTGGCTCTGGAGCCTTGGCGGAAGCCTTCACTCTTTTGGGATTTGCCTTTGCTGGGGTCTTTCCCCGGGGGCTGATCTGCTCGTTCTTGAGCGGCGGCGCTTTTGTAAGGAGGGTCCTGCCGTGGCGATTCAGACTGTTGCATGCTTCAGTGTTCGAACGATCCCTTTAGAAAAAAAAGGGTTACATATAGGGGCTTCTGGGGTGTTAAGGTTCAGGGTTTAGGATTGGGGTTTGGGGTTCGGTGGGATTAGGGTGATGTGATTTGGGCTTTGTGTTCTTTCAAGCACTGCACATACCCTACGGTCCTGGCACGAGTTTCCAGCTCGGCAGCTTCGATTATCCTGATCTTCCACACAAATCTAGACATCATACCAGCATCGATGATCGAAACATACAGAATTCGATGGGTGCATCCAGGGTGCAGCTTGCGGCATTTTCCCAGCTCAATGTCGATTGAGCATTCCATCCTAGGGAGACAGGCAATGGTAGCGTGTTTTGAGGGGTGTTATAGGGTTTACAAAGATCAGGTGCAAGGGGAGACGACTATAATGTGACTATAGTATCGAAATCCAGGTCTACTTTAGGGTTTATGTAGGGTTCATTTTGAGGCGAAGGATATGGCAGGGGCTACGGGGATGTTTGTTTTAAGGATTGCCATATAGCAATATTTTAAGCTCTGCTTTGTTTTTGGGATCACATACTCTGAGGAAGGGTCGTCTGTATCCGGACAAACACCGAAACCAAACCTCTTAAAATTTCGGACTTTCGAAGGCATGCCTTTGAGGTCCGAGAAAGTTTTTGTATAGCCGATCTGCGATGTAGAACTATATTATCTAATCCCAATTAAACAACAGGACCCAGGACAGCCAGCATAGCTTAGCTCGAATAGTATTGAGCCCAGCAACTGCTCAGTAAAGCCATCCACCAAACCATCAGCCTTGTACTTCTCGAGTGCCTCGGAGCAAGAGTCCACGGCTGCGTAGACCGACCGGATCTTGTTGTACATCCTGAGCACAAGCGAGGGTGTAGGGAAACCCCGGGATATATCTAGATATGATTTGTGCAAGATGAACGACACACGGCTGAGGGCAAGTCTTCTCTTTGAGGTCCATGTTCGCGGTTTGGGCTGCGGGATCAGGTGGGGGGCAGCTGTCAGACGGTAGCAGCTCAGCAAGCTTCTTCAACCGTTTAGTGCAAGCACCAACGGCCTTGTCAATCAAAGCAGAGGCCTTGCAGTCATGAACCTCTGGGTAGCCCAAGCGCTTCAACAATTTGCTGACCTCCTCATTCGGTGGCGGTGTCTGTGTCAAACCATCTGCAGCATCAGCAAGCGTTGCTGGCTGTTGACCTCAGGATTGTTACCCAAGCTACTACATTCTGCGGATCTAAGGCTTCTTGGATCTCTGATCTCTACGATGACTGCAGTGGATGAATCAGTGGATGAAGCCGCAATTTGCTTGCAAGGAACTTGGGGGTAGCTCCAAGGCTTCACCCAAATCCACATCCATCTCCTCAGTTCCCTCGCCGGCAGCCTCGATCTCCCTTGTCTCGGACGTTTTCACCCGGTCTGTCTTCCTCGGCAGTCGCAGGAGGTCGAAGGCAGTTGCAAGGGTTAGGAAGTTTGGGATTGGGGGGGGTTGAACGAAATAGGGCTTATAGTCTCATATATATATATATATATATATATATTGAACCGAACGTCTGTATCCCACTAGTGACTCTAGTTTAAGTATATACCCTTACAGAGTACAGGTTTAGGTAGCCCCACAGTTGGAATTCCGATAGGAACGGGGGTGCTTGCAGACAAGGCACTGGGAATGACCTTTCACCTTGAGCTCGCAATAGTACTTCAGCACTCCGGCTTTGTAGGGATGCTTCCTTGGATAACACATATACACAGCCATGCATCATGTGCATATATACATCCTGAAAGAAGCACACTCGATATGTTTCATCAAGACACCGGATGAACCTTTTGGGGTCCTTTTCTGCTGCTGCCACACATTGGTCGATATCATCCCTAAGCATGGCACAAGGAGTCTGCAGGCCGCATAAAGCAATGTATGCATGCAAAGCTAAGTGGCTTCGACATGTTGTGATCATCAGCCATCTCCTTCTTGGTCAAGAACTCAAACTCCACAGACACCTGTAGCTCGCTCTCCTTTTCGTGGGTGGCGCTGTACTTGTTCATAAAGATCTCCTTTCAGGGGTCTACTCTACATATACATGCATGCACATGCCGTGCAGGGAGCTCGAACAGTGAACGTGCATACGAATGCTGTCCGGATTGTGCTGACACTGTGCGAACAACTTGTACACGTTCTCTCTCTCTTTGCCACCAGCTTGAAACTGGTCCCTCACTGTCTTCGAAATTCGAAAAACTCCTTTTGCATTTGGCTCCAAGGCTCGAAGCAGGCGCTTCGTAATTGCTCCTGATGTGGGTGGAGGGCTTTGGGGCCTGGCTTTCATGGCGCTCGGAGCAACACTGGCGGGAGCATGCTTTGCAGCTGCGGCCTTAATCGGCACAAAGGTTTTGGGAGGCAGCCCGGGGATTTGCTTTGGGATGGCAAGTCGGGTTGATGGAGCAGCTGCAGGCCTGGAATTGGGCGTGGTTGGGGTGGCTGGGCTCGGACTGGACTTGGCAGAGGGAGGGAAAAGCTGGCGGCAAACCTGTCTGCTGGCCCACGGATCTTGGGCATCTTGGCTCGAAGTCGAGCGTGGAGATGACACCCCTGAGGGGGTTGTTGCTTTGGCCTCTGAGGGGGTTGTTGCTGGGGTCTCTACTTTGCACAAGCCCGGCTTTGTTGTGATCTGCTTTTGCAAATCCTCATCCAGCTGCGTCTCCAAGGCATCTGTTTGAGCCTTTAGTGCCTCGGCCAAGTGTCCTGCCTGTGTGGCTTCCTCTGCAAAACGATCTGCCTTCTCCTTTTCCTGTGCCAAACGATCGGCCTCTGCTTTCTCCCGTGCCAAACGATCAGCCTTTTCCTTCTCCTGTGCCAAACGATCGGCCTCTTCTTTCTCCTGTGCCAAACGATCAGCTTTTTCCTTCTCGAGTGCCAAACGATCGGCCTCTTCCTTCTCCTGTGCCAAACGATCGGCCTCTTCTTTCTCCCGTGCCAAACGATGAGCTTTTTCCTTCTCCTGTGCCAAACGATTAGCCTTTTCCTTCTCCTGTGCCTCCTGTGCCAAACGATCAGCCTTTTCCTTCTCCTGTGCCAAATGAGCAGCCATTTCCTTCTCCTCTGCCTCCTGTGCCAAACGAGCAGCCTTTTCCTTAATCGCCTGTGCCAAGCGATCAGCCTTTTCCTTTTCCTGTGCCAAACGACGAGCCTCTGCTTTCTCCTGTGCCAAACGATCAGCCTCCCCCTTTTCCTGTGCCAAACGATCAGCCTCTTCCTTTTCCTGTGCCGCCTTTTCCTGTGCCAAACGATCTGCCTTTGCCTGTTCCTCTGCTATACGAGCTGCCTCTGCCTCTGCCTCTGCAATTTCCTCAAAGTTCAGCGTAGGTGCTTCAGCCAATCCTCACAAGTAGCATGCGTGCACACATACGGTTAATGCATCGGCCGATAACATGTGGGCGGGCTTGTATAAGAATCCAAGGCCTTGAGCAGCCTCTGCGAGACGACTTTCTTCTTGAGCTGCCGCCTGTGGATGGATCGACGGTACTGCTGGGCTGCAATCAGTGTACTTCGGGGTGTGGGAGTTCATGGGTTTGGTTTCTTATAAAAGACATTAAAGGGCTTGGAGGTTTCGGGGGGAGTGCGAAGCTAGAAACCAGGTTACATCTCATAACACAATCTATGGGATCCGGGACAAGCTTGCGTGTGTTTCTTCAAAACCTCATATTGGCTTTCGGAAACCCTGCCTAAAGCACCCTAACATGTTGATCCGTCCATGCAACATACCCATCGCATCCATGCATCAAATGCAGCCACTCTAGAATAGATAGATAATAGAGATCCATGTGTGTATACTAGTATATACAACATATTACTTATCGAGGACCCCTCGATCTTTCTATATTATACGATGCACATATATTTTTATAATATATATATATATATATATATATATATATATATATATATACTTATGTTATAAAATTATATGTGCATCGTATAATATAGAAAGATCGAGGGGTCCTCGATAAGTATATCGGCTCCGTTTTGTGAGCGTATCGGCGTCATTTTGTGAGTTCGGAGCCTCGATAGCTGAGTGTCGTTATTTGATTATGCACGGTTCCTATAGATAAATCAAACCGATATCATCGACTTTTATAAGAGCTGTAGAGTACTTGCATGGGCGTACTTTACACTATGGCTATTTAGGGGTCTAGAGGGATTTTATCAGGGATAGGATCCAAGCTTGCATCATCGTGCTACATAGGCAAACCCTTCCCCGGCCTTTGCTTCTCGAAGCAGGGCTTGCTGCTTTCTCAGAGCCTGACGTTTTACAATTGCGAGGTTCGCCAATTTAAAGTTTAGATCGACCCTAACCTTGCAAGCATAGGCAAGCCTAGCCTCGATCTGTCGCTGGATTTCAGCTTCATCATCAGGCTCTTCGGTCTTGACGACCCCACGTCTTGAAACATCTAGGAGGATCCGGGCTCCTCTGTCCAGGCTTTCCCTGGACTGCCCTACTGTACTACTAGACCGGCCTTGCTCCATTGCTTCGGGCCAGCAGGAACTGCAGTGACGTGCGATTTAGGCCTGCTGCGGTATGCATTTGCAAGCACCAAAACTGCTCCTGGGAGGGCGCCCGGCAGTTTCCGCAATTGTCCCGGCAATTTCCGCCATTGTCCCGCCACTTTCCGCTATCGTTGCGGGCCCCAAAAATCACCTCAGGACCTGTCCCGTCTCTAAAAAATCCAATATCGAGCCTCACAGAACCTGCCATTAGCCCTGGCAAAGGACCAAAATCGCAGAGCCAAGCCCTGGGAAGCACCAACAACCTATGAAAACCGGGCGAAGCTTGGCCCGTAATCCCGTCTAGGCAGATCTAGGCTTAAAGTTGGTCCATGAACATGGAGCCCGCGTGTGGCTCCAGGAATGGCAGGTCCCGGGGGAATCGATACTTATCGATCAAGGACTTGAAATCTTTCGGCACATGTACATTTTTGGCTACTCGTAAGTACAGGACTACCTCGTGCAAATTCGCCTCCTCCCAGTCTGTCTCATCCCAGGACAAATCGGCGAACAGCTGGTGCAAAGGCTGGTCCCACTTCATGTCCGAGTCGGAGACCTGCGGCAGCTGGGCATTATGGATCTGTATAGCGAAGATCGATAGATTGGGGGGTGTGCGGGAATTTCGCAAAAAGGCTTGTCGGGTCTGTGTACTAACTTGGCACGAACTGGGATCTCGGATTCATGTGTGGCCTGCACCGACAATCCTTGAAGAGCACGGGTTGGCTCAATCATCTCGATGATCCTTCGGGCAAAGCCAGGTGGGTATGTCCTCAGCAGAGTACGACTGCATGTATCATAGTGCTGGCTTTAACCAAGACCTTTTATCCAGGTATACTATTTATATAATATTAAACGAAGTCAAGAGTCGCAGTAGCCCTGAGGTTTTCATTACCCTGAAACTTCTTCCTCCCCGAACGATCTATGTACACCTTGGTGGTTTTGACGGTGGCACGTCGCTGTTCTCCAACGAGGTTTCCCATGTCAAAGGATTTGATGTAGGGTGTTGTAGACCACGTCAAGGATTTTTTCGGATTGGCATGACCCCAGTGCTTCATGTAGAACTTCTGAAGATAGACCTGAAAGGCCATAGACATGTCTAGACTCTAGACAAGTAAAGTGCACTGCACACAATCCAATTCATGTACAGACCAGTTGCAGGGACCCCGTGATCCTGAAGCACTTGTGACACCCAGGAAAACCGTGGATACCATCCCAGAACGGAGCTCCCCGGGTTCTCCACGATGAAGTGGTGGCCAAGAACCACCAGCAAAAGTAGAAGTAGAGAGGTCCTGTGATGCAGGCTTGAACATTATTGTCTTGATTTACACTACATATATTGTAGCTGAGCTATAGCCTAGAGCATGCACATCTTAAGATTGCAATCCTCGAAGTGGCTTCGTTTGCATCATGGACCGAATCCACATTGCTGTCTCCCCACGGAAACAACTCACTTCGCTTACTAGTGCCTTGGTTCATAGACACGAACGTCGAACACTCGATTCCCAGGATGGCAAGCGCTCCACGAGCTGAGCCGGAGAGGATCATGAGGACGGCAAGCCTGGGTGGGATTTGTTGCAGGCTTAGGGCGTTAGGGCATTATAGGGTTGTGGCTTATAATGGGTGTACATAGGAGTTTCATTTTGCAGAAGCCGATAGACTTTTGGGCTTGAAAACATTGCAATACTTTGCTGATTTGTCTTTGCGAGCCATGCATTATAAGATTAACCCATGCTACCCATTGCAATAAAAGGCCCTGGGTTCCCGAGGTTGGTGTTCAAGTATAACCGAGCCATATCAAGGGATCAGGGATATTGTACGTAGAGTTCATGCTTTGTGAGTGTTGGGTCCTGGATAAAGGGTAGGCTCTGGCTCTCTCTCTTTCTCTCTGTCGTCCCTCTCTCTCTCTCTCTCTCTCTCTCTCTCTCTCTCTCTCTCTCTCTCTCTCTCTCTCTCTCTCTCTCTCTCTCTCTCTCTCTCTCTCTCTCTCTCTCTCTCTCTCTCTGCTCTCTCTCTCTCTCTCTCTCTCTCTCTCTCTCTCTCTCTCTCTCTCTCTCTCTCTCTCTCTCTCTCTCTCTCTCTCTCTCTCTCTCTCTCTCTCTCTTCGCGAACCTACCTCCCCCCCACACCCAAATCCCGCCTATAGGCAAATTTCTCCTTCCCCCACAGAGGGGCGAATTCTGGAAGTGATTGCGTGACCTCATGGAAACCCGCTCCCCCTCCCCAAACCACCCTAACCCGGCTCATGCCCATGCATGCTGAATCTCTCCAATTCCCCCAATAAAAAGAACAGGCCAGCTAGCTAGTATATTGTTTTTGGGTCCCGATAGCTATATGTCATGGAAACACGACAGGGCAGCTCATGCTTTAGCCTAGAATCGAGAAGCCACTCGGCTGATTCAGATGAAGTGAGGATCTCCCCTCAGGGTCGTAGTCTTTGTCTGCAGCGACGGCCGTGTATCCTGCTGCCCGGGCCATTCTAGTAACCCTGGCCTTGCCAGCATACAGCTCGATGACATCGTAGGTAAAGTCACAAAACTCTGGCTTGGGGTTTAGCCAGTACACCAGCATCACCACAGCCAGGAAAACCTGGGATGGATGGGCATTGGCGGGCCGAGGCTGCAAAGCACAACATGGGCCTTGGCTATACACTTGCGGTCAAGTGTCTTTCGGGGCTTTGAGTGCCATCAGTTTGCGAATGCAGGACTCAAAACCGGCTTCATCAATCATGGCGCTTGAGTCGGCTCGACTCGAAGTATCTGTAAACCACGGCACTTATCCAACCCG